TAAGTACTCGTGGTACTCTGGTTGGAAAGTCATAGCCGTAGGGTACATTCTCCCAAATGCAGGTCCTTGAAACCTCTTGCTAAAATTCTTCATTAAATGGACAAAACATTCTCTATGTTCTGCCCAAGGGTACACCTTCTTCACTGCATTTTCTCGGCCCTTGCAAGCATATGAACATATAGCTAGGTGAGGTGGATTTCCAATTGCCTTTTGCAACTGTTGCATAAACCAAGTCCAATTATCAGTAGTCTCACAATAAAAAAATCCAAATGTAACTCAAAACATCCAATTGTGCCCGTCCAATGCTGTAGCTGAAGGCATGTGGCCATCCCATCTACCATTAAAAGCCGTTGAGTCAATACTCAAAAATGGCCTACAACTATTTAGGAAACCATCAATACTTGGTTTCAGACAACAAAAGAACCTATGAAAAAATACACCTTCCTCTTTATACACATCTATCTCTACAACATTTCCTAGCATTCTGAGCTCAATCTCTGCCTTGAAGTTGAACAAATATCCAAAACTTTCTTCCCATGTACCAAAAAATTGTTGTTCTGCCTTGTCCTTACCAAGGTGCACGGTTGAATAGCCTATTGTCACTTGATACTTCTCTAACTCTTCTTGTATTTTCTTAGCACCCATGTTTGGATCCTTCTTTAGAAGAGGAATTGCTTTCTCTGCCACCCAATGGTATGTTTCCATCTTGGTCCTCACTCTCCCAGTAGAAGAACAAAAAATGATTTTCTTTATTCAATGAAATCTGAAAAATTAAAACAAACATGTTAGCAACCTTGAAAATTTAAAACAGACTTGCAGGACAAATAAAAGTAAATAATATATTAAGTCAGCATGTTGTCTCTGAAAAAGTGTTAGTACCCTGACTTGTTGCTTATCTCGCATCAGCCTTGCTACAATAGACCAAGGACAACCCTCAGCTTTGCAGTACCCTCTGAACAAATCTTTGCAAGATTTCTGTGTTCCAAGTTCAAACTGTCCCATTATACCATGTTGCCTTACTGCAGCTCGGAATTCATCCATATTAGGATATATGGTTTCAACTTTCATTGGAGTGTTTTCTCTGTCATAGAACACATAATCCTCACTAGATATATGATCATCCACCAACAACTCTCCATCCTGAAGCTCAAGATCATCAACGTTACTTTCATTCTCCTTTTCAGTAGCCATCATAGCTTGCTCAGCTCTCTCATCCTCTGCTCTAAGGACAACAAACTCATACATTGCTTCCTCATCAGGGAGTGTAGCCCCAATCTGATCTCTGCAAGAGGAATTATCTCTAGATTGTCCCAATCAATTGGAGGAGAAAACAACTGCCTCATTGTTGCAATCCCCTTGTCTTGCGACATTACCATGCCCCACATTGTTCACTGCTGCCTCTATAATAGTTGAGTTGGAAATCAAATCTACGGGTTTGTCCACAATATCAACAAACAAGAACAATTTCTTATCATCCATCCTTTCAGAAAATGCAAATGCAAGTTCGGCATCATCCACCAATTTTCTTTCTCCACCACCACCACTCATGTCAAATTCATGTATTATAGGCTGCTGGTTGCTTCCCCAGTTCACCCTCGCTTCCAAGTCCTTTTGTAGCATTTCTAAAGTATAACATCGACAATCCACAACCCATTCAAACAATTTTCGTGGCACATCAAAAGAGCAACCATTGTTCAACTTAGCTGTGAACTAAGAAAACTGAACGCACAACCTAAATGCCCCATACGGATCCAGATCGATTCTGCCGTGTACCAAAAATAAAATAAAAGAGACACAGTATCAACCTTGTGCCCCCAAAACAGCAAGATCTGCATAACAGAAAATAGAGGGATTTAGGATTGGTGCCATTACCCTGGAGGAGCCATGAGCCGGAAGAGGACACCGGCGCCGCACCTGGTGGCGGCAGCCGGTGGAGGGTGGAGGCCGGTAGCACGCTGCGGCAGCCTGCAGCCACGGTCGAAACCCTAGCGCCCCGACAACCTGCGCGCGGGCGGAATGCTCTGCGGGTGAGGGCTACGACGAGCTGCTGGAGATGCGTGGAGCTGGTGCTGCAGCGGTGGTGCTGGCTGACGGTGGCAGGTTACCGACGCCGGACTTGATGAGCCCCGAGCGTCGGCGCTCGAGCGTGTCCCTGCTCCCTCTACGAGTCGGACCGTACAGAAACCAAGTGAAACTCTTCTTTCCAAGGGAGGGGGTAGAAAGGTCTTTTCGTGTGCTCCAAACAGTGCCCAGGATTTATTGGAATTGAGAAAGGAGAGAAAAAAAACAAGAATCTCTCAGATTCAAAGAATTAGTACGTCCAAGGTTGTATTTCGAAAGACTTAAGAACTGAGTGTCAAAAGGGCGTGCGAAATGAGTGTCAAATATTGAAATTTCTCCGGTAATCACAGATTTATTTGATGCCCTACAATAAAAAGCCCGTTAGATACGAGAGGCCCAGCTCAGCCCAAATAATGCCTTTCAGGCCAATGGAGTCACCGACCACAGTACCACCAACCTCGCCGACGACGAGCCAACGCTACCGGCGGCGCCGGCGCCTCTCCAACAGGGAGAGAGAGGCACAGCCGGATCCTACTACGACCACCCCGCGGTGGCGGAGAGCAGGACGTCTCCTTTGCGCGCGAGTGGCGGCGGACCAGTCCAGGTGAGGCATGCTGTGCATTTTACTCGTCGGATCAGATAGGCGGCAACAAATTTGGATGCCATTGGACACGGCATTCCAAATTACCTACTCACTTGGCACTTGTGTAAAAGTGTTTGTGGCAGTTTAAGTGTATGCCCCCAAATCTTGCGAGAGCAAGTACACGGAGGAGAATGCCTTGGGTTTACTGTAGCTGAATATCCTCATAGGGTTTGGACGTTTGGTCAGTCATCTCATCTATTCCAACCATATAGTAGTTTATTCAAGCAGCCGACTCGATAAGTGTATCACTGTGGTGAGAGTTATGCTTCCATCATCACAGGCACTTTTATAGGGTATATAGTAGCGGATACTTTGTTCTTCTTCACATGTGCAAAGAAATTTAATGAGAAATTGTGGCATCTGAAGATAAATCGGTGGATAGAGGGAGAGAGGGAGTGAGATTATGTTGCATTGCAAACTGCACTTTATGATATTTAAGGCCTTTTAGATGACCAAATTGAATTACATCTGATACATGGATGCCTCATGCCTGGCATACAGACAATGTATGTCCCTCATACAACTTGCATTTTTTTTTTGTTCTTTTTGTCAATTAGGCCACTAGATCTGAAAACCCACACATTTTTGTATTTTTAATGAACACATTTAATTTCAGTAATTCTTAGCTTTAAATCTTGTGACTTGATTTTGTTTTAATCGTAGTGACTTGTGTAACTCCTTTTGCGTTTGTATGTATGTAAAAGTAATGAGTTTCATTTGTTCTTATTAAATACAAGCCTCAGGAAATTCAACTATTCAAGTTGATTATTTTACCTTTTCACCAAGCATTGCTGACTATATAAGCGAAGCATCAGTCATCAGTCATGCAGGTGATGACCAGATTATACAATGGCAGTAGGTGAAGCAGATGTATTACTTGCATTTGATTGTGAAATCTTAACCTATTTATATTGGTTGCTCTAAGAATATTTGAAGCAGACGTCACACCGATCATAAATTTCTTTGTTTTCCAGTCGACTGATTGTTCTCTATCCTTTTTCACATGAAAGTAGAGAAATTATCTGTGTTAGCCATTTTGTCAAACATCCGGGAGAATGCCAACTCTATGCTAAGAGCATTGGATAGCACACTGTTTTCAATCGATCATAGCAAGCTGAAATGAAATGGCTGTAGAAGGATGATGATATTTTATTTGAGAAACCAGTTGGTGAATGGATCAACCGATCCTAACCCTGGGTATGGTGTGTTTTTTGAGTTCTACAATCCAAGGTGTAATTGATGTCACTTTGTGCAGTAAGCAATCTGCCCAATTGCTTTCTACTTTGACGACCTTCATGTAACTTTGCACTTTGCAGGCTGAGAAGGCGTGCTTTGGTGGGTGACTAACCAAGAAATACAAGGACGAATCTTGAAATTGCCAGGTTGAACTCCCAGGTTAGTGTTGCTGTTGGGCTTCCTGAATCATCACCGAGGTGTCAATCTTGTCTGCTAGTGTTTGTTATAGCTATGGAGATTTGACATCCTGTTATTTCCTTGCATAGTTGCATGATAAGGTGATCCTAGTGACCTAAAGGGCGTACCCAGTGCAGAGAGCTCCCGCTCTGTGCGGGGTCTGGGGAAGGATGTCAGTGGCAAGCCTTACCCTTGCTTGTGCAATGCGAGGAGACCGCGACTCGAACCCGGGACCTTCCGGTCACAGGCGGTAAGACTCTACCGCTTGCACCAGGCCCGCCCTTCAAGGTGATCCTAGTGACCTAAACATGCAAATAATGACGATGCTTTGAAGCACCTGGCTCACTAAAGAGACTTCATACGAAGTGATTTCATCTGTGAGGAAGGTGACCGGGTGCTCTGCCAATGCTGCATCTGTGTGCTTGCTCGCAGAAACTAACCGAATCAAATGCGCCAAGTAGCTAGACATACTAAAGTGCCATTGCCAGTACCAATAGGGCTGTAGAATATTCTTATAGTCACGCTAAAGATTGTGCATGTAGAAGTTATATGCTCCTGATAAATCTTTACCTCGAGTTTGAGCAGACAACTTTTTGATAGAGTATTTCTTGGATACTGGGTAACATATTGCGTGTGTGAGGGTCTTCTTGGTTATATGCTTCTGAGATGATGTAAAATTAAATTACACTATTTTTCTATTCCAGATGTAGAGAGTTACAACTTCACTGGGAAAATATGACATTAATTTGCGAAAATTATTCTTCTTATGCTATCTGAAACATAGTACTTCCAAATTAGAAATCAGATAAGGTACAGAAGCAATTACAAAGCCTAAGTGTACTATATGGATGCTTCTTATATTCATTACTGAAAGTGATACATTTCATCTTGGACCAGATAAGATTGATGCCAGTGGTGGAGCTGAATATGCTGATTGATCACTTTGAACAGACAATACTGGATCTGAACTGAAGAAATTGTAATCTATGGAAGTTTCTACGGTCATTGTACCTTCCAGTACCTTTATTACCGTTGACATCAATGGCCTTCGACTGCTATCATGTTGCAAGCACCACATTGCAAGCTTCATCATCTGAATAACTTTATCCTGGTGTGTGACCATGTCATGACTTTGTTTGTCAATCATATCAATCAGCCTGTTATTTTGAGCCTTTTCTTGTAACAAATTGATCAGATGGATGCTTTCCTCAGGCTGAGAATTATCGATATTTTTTCTTCCACATATTACTTCCATAACAACTCCAAAGCTGTAAATATCAACTTTTTCGGTGATTTGCGACGTTAACCATTCAGGCGCCAGATACCCAGGTGTGCCTCTCATCACAGTCACTACTTTGCTTTGATCCCTGTCTATGAGCTTGGATAATCCAAAATCAGCCAATTTAGCATTGAAGTTGTCATCTAACAGAATATTCTGTGGTTTAATGTCCAAATGAGCAATTTTTCTCCGGCACTCCTCATGAAGATAGCATAGGCCCTTGGCAATATCCAGAATGATCCTACACCTGGTGCTCCAATCAAGAGGGGCATTATTGTGGCGGTAATATATCCACCGGTCAAGGGAACCTCTAGGCATATATTCATATACTAGAAGTCTATGTGCTTTCTCTACACAGAATCCTACCAGCCTGACAAGATTGATGTGCTCAGTGCTACCAATTGTTTCAATCTCTGCCAGGAATTCTTTTTTCCCTTGTCTAGCGCTCTCCAAACGTTTCACGGCCACTCTCTCTTCATTTAATTTCCCTTCAAAAACTGAACCAAATCCACCTTCCCCGAGCTTTTGACTGAAGTCTTCGGTGCATTCTCTCAACTTTGCATAAGAAAACCTCATTGGTTTGCCCGGCAATTGATCAAAATCAAATTCTTCATCTATCTCATGGTACTTCCTCCTCCTTTGTACATAAAGAGTGACAACAATGAGAACCAGTACAATACCAGTAACACCTCCAATTATAGCGCCTAAAATTGCCTTCTTTTTATTTGCAGTAGTTGCAGAAGGGGAGGGGCTAAGCTGCACCTTGAGGTAAGCAGAGGAGTTGTAATGAAGAATCTGAGGTTGTATTGATTGCAAGGAGAAAACCCTCGTGACCCACAGGCAGTCACCATTGGATTCGTTCTGTCCATATGTGAACATCACGGCCTGGCAGGAACAATTTTTCAGGCACGCTTGCTTACAGTCATCGCTGTTTCTAGCATTTGCAATGGTGTGGCTTGTATTTGTATCAAAGTATGAAACATCTTTTAGGGTCAAGAGCTCATGGCGTTGAATTGCTTGACAGGAGATTGGAGTCAGAGGCGTGCAACCAATATTCGGCTTCCACCTGTCGATTAGCTTGAAGTAGCTTGAAGTAGAGTTACTCTGGAAGGGGCAGCTGCATTGCCCTCCTGTGCATACCCCGTACTCCCCACAGACCGTTGGGAAAGCACAGTCATCATCAGGAAACATCTTGATCACATCATACACCATGACCCACTTTGCTTCAGTGCCAGACCATTCGTACAGCCTCAGGTGTCCGTCATTTTCAAATCTCATGTACTGGGTAGACTTGGCTGCTGGCAATGTGATACTTGAATATGGATCTGGCGTGGACTGTACAAAGAAACTGAAGCTGCCATTTGTTAAGGTAAACTGTGTCGGATGGTTTCCTGTCTTGTTTTTGTTCACCAATTTTGAGAAGTAGGGCTGTGGTGGTGTGGAATCAACGTAGGCATACAATCCATCATGGAGAACAGTTATATACAGCTGATTCTGAGTCCAGTTTGTTGCAGATGTATTTGCAGTGAGCCTCATGCTTTCCAGTAGTGACTGCCCAGGGACAAGCGCATCAGTCGGATGTTCAAACGACTGCCATACTGTTGCATTCTTCTGATCAAACAGCACCAGGTTGCCCAGCTCTGTGATCATCATGCCAGCAATGGACCTGCCTGCAGTGCCGCTCGACCAGACGCCAACGCCATCAGCATCACGGAGGATCAGGTTGCCATCCCCAGTAAGCTCGAGGGTGGCGTTCTCCTTAACTGGGTGGATCCGGTTAGCGGACCAGACCACCTGCGGAATGCCATTGGTTACAGAGGTGATGCCGGCACCACTGTTGGTGTAGACGATGAAGACGGCAAACAGGAAAGCACCAGTGTCGCAGGGTGCGGAGGGGCAGAAGAACCCTGCGGCGAAAGAAGGACCATAGAGGGTGGTCTTTGGTGACCGGAGAACAATGGCCCGTACGACGGAGCCATCGGCGTAGGTGATGCTGTGCTTGAGGGAGGCGTTGTTGTTGGTCCACATCGTTGAGAGGTTGGCCGTCGGGTAGTCGAAGAGCTGCCCGGTGATCAACGGAGTTGCAGTTGCAAGCAGGAGGAGGAGGAGATTGGAAGGAGCCATGGCACAGCTGCTAATAATTGAAGGTATTGTGGAGACGGTAAGATACAGTTATAATCTTGACGTGAAGGGTGTTGTAGAGATGAGCTTACAGCGAAGAAGAACTCACCTGACTACGGGCTCGACGGGGCGGCTCCAGTCGCCGGACCTGCTGCTGGCATGGATGGAGTTTGCCTGCCCGCCTGGGGCACTGAGATAGCAGTCAACCAGTCTTCTTCTCCCTTTGCATATCTTTTTGTTCGCATCATAAAGTTGAGAACCCCACTTTGAAAAAAGAAGTAGACAACCACAACCACACCACGGCCACGGCACGCGGTGTTTTGGTAGCTGGATTGGTTTTAGACTTTGAGTGTTTGACTGTTTCCAACTTCTGCAGCATGCTCGGTGCAGTGGCGCGTTTTTTACTGTTTCGGCACGCGGTGCAGGCGAGCAGTGGCTGTGCCGATCGAGGACATGGTCGGCCGTGGCGTGGAGTCTAGATCGTCAACCAGCTTCGTCCAGCGTCAACATTTTAGTTTGAAGATACGATCTAAGACAGCATGGAAAATACGTAGATGAAATCATATATTTATTTTTTTGTTATATTATTATAATAGAAAATCATAGTAAAGCTATATTCTGGTATAAAAATTATGAAATTGAAGGGACTATCTTGTAGGCTGTTAAGTTGATAGAATCTTTGTCTGTCGCTGCTGTCCGAAGTGGACATCTTAAGCTGATGTAATCCTTGTTTCTTGCTGCTCTTCGCAGTTACTTTGAAGAGGCTTTGCAAGAGTTTTGCTTTTAACTTTTCGGATGGTACGCCATTCACAGTGTTGTCTTTTGAGTTTTGACTTCAGTTAAAAGACAGGGACCTGCCCTAAAATTCTTTTAAAAAAAAACTTCAACGTTGACTCATTTCTTGTGACAAATATATTCCATGAAAGGATTTTTGTGGCAAATCTTGCCCTAGCTTGACAAAAAGCAGGCATGACAACGTTAGAAGCCTGCATGTCGGCTGGTAGATTAAATAACACGTAAATGTAATGTGCAAAAGGAAAGAGGCATGCATACTTAATAATGAGGGGGTAAAATTATAACTTTGTCAGTGCCAAAATCTTACATATAAGGGCGTCCCAGTAGCCCTGTGATTCTGTGAAAATCGGCAGGCGAGGAGTAGGGCTGAAAAAAATAAACAAATCTCTATATGCACAGCTCACGGATATGGACCAGGAGGGCAGAGACAGTGAGTTTCGCTATTGCGAGCTGAGCGACGAGCTCCTCGCTAGCGCTCAATTTGCAAATTGAACGCTAGCGAGGAGTTGCTTGTCAGGGATTCTCTAAAAACTCGATTTTTTAGAGAGCGACGATTATTTTGTGTTATTAAGTAGTAAAATCAATTCCTCAACAACAAAAAAGAGTAGCAAATAATCAATGACCAGGTGGAGTATTTTTCAATTAGTTATCAAAATCAATTCTCACTCTGAACCGTAAGCCGTGACCGGTGAGGATCAAATCTTACTGGATTATTGGATTGGTCCCTGCAAGAGCCTGTGTGGAAGTGGAACTCCACGGAGCAGCAAACCTCCTGGTTCATTTTGGTGGAGCAACCAAAGAGTCGCTAGCTTCACGATTTGTGTTTTTTTTTTCCTTTGGCACAGCTACCGAGCTACGCACCGTGAATTCTTTTAGAACAAAGTACCAAATCTAAAGTAATAGGGACAATGATGTTTTTAAATAGGATTAACGATTGTGTTTTGTCAAGTAGCAAAATCTCGACCAGCGCATGCACACGTACACTCCCTGCTCCTAGTCTGTGCGCCGCCGACCGACGTTTCCCAGCAAGGCAATGCAGCTATGCAAGCAGCCGGCCTATCCGCTCTTCACGAGCCGACTTCAGGTTTCGGCTGCTGAGGTGCCCACAGGCATTCAGCTGGCGTGCTTTAACTTTTTCACTTGCCGCGTGGCTTATCGGCCTCTCAGTAGCCGATAGACGGTAGGCTTGTCGGCTTATCTTTAGACAAAGCATGGAATATACATAAGAAATATGTTTGAAAACATAAATGTTGATATTTCACAACAAAGATTTGCATTCTTTTTGGATGGAGGGAGTATTTATGTTTATCAATTTTTTTTTTTTTTGTACCATCACAAGTATTTGCAACCACTCAATGCTTGGCAATTGGATAAAAGAAACGTACAATGACATATGCAAATTAAAATGCATGGAAACTGTAACGAGCTATGAAACCACATGGTATTTAGGATTTTCTTATAAACATTATATGTAGCCGGCTTTGCATATGTTATATGGAAAGTATCAGATTAATTGATACTATCTCGCAAAAGGAGAAATAGAGTAGAAGTTAATTAAGAAGGAAGAGAGGGCACATGCTTAGTCATGAGATGTGACCTTGCTTTCACCTTCTCTGCGTGGCGGACACATAGGAGAGAGTACAGACACCGGACAATAAATAAATGATGCGAAATGGGGCCTATCGGCTCTTCACAAGCTGACTGGAGGTTTCGGCTGCTCAGGTGACGACATGTCTTCAGCTGGCGTGCTTTAACTTTTTCACTTGCCGCACGGGTCGTCGGCCTCTCAGCAGCCGATAGGTGCCCGCATGGTCCGCCCAGCAGCAGCGTGCTTTAGCTTTTTCACTTGCTGCATGGTTTGTCGGCCTCTCAGTAGCCGATAGGTGCCCGCATGGGTCCGCCCAGCTGCGTGCTTTAACTTTTTCACTTGCCGCATGGCTTGTTGGCCGCTCAGTAGCCGATAGGTGCCAGACAGCCTTCAGGATCCTAGTTTTGCAATTTTATAAAAACAGCATGTAGATATGTAATTATTTATTAAAATAATATTATTTCAAAAAAATACGTGTGTTTAGGGTTTAGTCTCTACAAAGTGTTTCTGCTACTAAAAAGTAGAAGGCCAATCAAATAGGTAGCTAGAAGCTGCTTTTCTAGAAATAGCTGCTTTCGCATAGTATAATTTTCGCATCATCTTAAATCCTACTTTTTGCTTCATCTTTCAACTTTTCCAAACGGATAGAAATAGAGAGGTGTTTTACGAGGGAGAAAGAGATGGGGTAGGTTCTATAGTTATTTTAACCAAACTAACTTTTTCACACATAACACACAGTCACAACAATTTTTTCACAGCTCAAAACCCTTAGCATCCATTTACTTCAACTTTTAACTGTGAAAAAATTGTTCTGAGTTGTGTGATGTGAAAAAGTTGTGACTTGTGAGCTCTGAGATGTGGAAAAGGTCTTGTGAGTCTATAACAAAACACTAACGGCGGGAGCGGCACTCTTGTAATTTGAAACTCTTTTCCTTCTAATACAATGATACGCACACTCGTGCGTATTCGAGAAGAAAAAAACTCTGTTTGGGTCTTATTTTTATCAAACAGGTCTGGACCTACATGTCAGCTCTATCACTCATCAATAGCCTGTCTCATGGCAAGGGTCGGCTCGTCGGCGGTTTGGCGTGGTTGCTCGCCCGCACACCTACGACATCGGTGCTTGCCCGCACGCCTCTTCATGAGTAGCCAGAGTCTACGACGGATGGACTACCCTTGCTCTGATGTCTGATCTCATCGATGACTGACGGGAAGCTCGCATCAGCTGGAAGTACCCCTCGGTAGGCAGCCTTAGCGCGTCGTTGGTGTACATAAACCGCATCAGGATTCGAAACGCCGCCGGTCGGACACCGTGCAGTGTGATGCAGTCCATCCTAGCGTCCGCCATGGCGCCAAAGGGCTACGCTCTGAACACCAGCAAGCGCGCGGAACGTCTCGTAGCCCACCGAGAAGGAGACGTCCGTTGGCGCAGTCCAGCAGCCAAGGTGGCTCCCCGGGTCGGAGGCGAGCACAGAGATGCGGTCATCGTCCAGAACTACGATCCGTCGGGCAGCATGAGACGGCGTATGGGCGCATCGTCGAGCAGCTGGAACCGGAGGGCACCATGCTCGCCATCGCCGACATGATGCGTGGCGGCAACTACTGCTCGCGCGTGCGCCGGCGGCTCGCCCGCGACCCTATGCAGCGGCGGCGGCTCGCCTGCACAGCCGTGGTGCCTGTGTGCGGAAGAGGCGGCTCGCACGCCTGCCTGTGCGCGGCGGTGGCGGCTCGCCCACGCCCCTGTGGGGCAGTGGCTCGCCCGCCTGCCTGTGCGCCGCGGCGGCGGCTCGCTCGTGTCGTGGCAGCAAGGAAGAAGATGGTGATTATTTTCAAAATAGTCCCTCATGAAGTTTATAAATATTTATATAATTTATGTGTCTAGGCGATTTTGTTTCTAACCCCGCTAATCTTTTATTTCAAGCAATCAAGTCTTATCTCTGCCCGCGGGCACGAATCCATACCCATTTAGATGAAAATGAGACCCAGACAAGTTTAAGGACCGGAATGACATACTTTCTGAGTTCTGGGACCAGGATGACACACCCCTGCAAGTTCGAGGACTAAAAAATTAGAAGCAGCATGTGAATTGAGAAGTTCTATATGCTCAGCAGTCTCCTAGTGTATCCGATCCAACAGGTCACTGTTAGCAGGAAAATTATAATTCAGTTGCCCCTTCCGCAACAGTCAACTTCCCGTTGCGAGCCGACGCACACCCGCAGCACTCGGCCACACACTTGAGTTAAGATACCCAACCGGCAACGAGCTCGCCTCGCTTGGCTAGGCCACACACCTGTTGTGCGGCACCTCGCCTACGCACTCGTGCTCCCTGGTCGTGCGTGCTCAGCGCTCCCAGCCGCGCTAGCTGGCCGTGACTATGCAACGCCGAGCAGGTGCGTCCGTGTCGTGCTCACCTCTGTCGTGGTTTGCACTGTTGCACCTAGACGCGTGTCTTCTTCTGTCTTCTCATCCTCTCACATGCTTAGAGAGAAGAGGAGTGAACACTCTTTAATTGTGGTAATTGGTTCATGACACTATATCTATAGTAAAATAATATTATCTAGGATTTTATTGGAGACAGAAGTTCAAACTAACCGAAATACCCCTAACTATTTTGGTACAA